TCCTGAACAGCCTGCTATCTTTGCCTAACATTGAACGCCACTTGTATGCAGATATTCTATAAGAAAATGCTGGAAGCATACTTTGGGAAATAGTAGTAAAATGCTATGAGTAAACTCGCGTAAGTACAGTCACTTGAAAGGTTCTGAAGCATAGGAATTCAAACCTCTTAAAGATCCCAAATCTGAAAATGAGACTTCCTTCTCATGACAAACTGCATGGTATACTTTTTAATTAAAATTTAGGTATTCTTAAAGTAATATTTTGTTAAGTGCTATGTTGCTTCTTAGCTGAAAGACAAAATGAAATGGAAACTGAGCCTGCTTACTCATTCTGCCATGTTGGATCCCAGGAAAGTCCTAAATTGTGGCTTTTTTTTTTTTTTTTTTTTTTTTTTTTGAAAATTTATTTAGGCATAGTTCTACAAACATGTGTTTATCTCTAATCAGATTATGCTTGCTAGGTTCAGATTATGCTTGATATTTTCTTTCTATGGATTGTACCTGGTGTGTTTGTAATTAATTCCAAATCTAAGCAGCATGGAAAATTATGAGCTGTGTAAGATACCTCATTATGCAGGCCAGAACTTAAAATTGTCTTTCTATCAAGTTCTGCCAAATTTTGTAAGTCTTGCAGAACACTATCAAATCATTGTAAGTGCCGAAAATGATGCCATCAAATCTGATTTTCATCAGATAGCTCACCCATATAAATATCTATTGCATACCTGATATTCTCTTTATTTAGATTTGATATCTGTTTATTTTAATACTTGCGACAAAGGATTATATATGAATAGGAAATAGTTGCAGGTATTAACACTCAATTTATATGCTTGTATTGGGGCATTTGGAAGGTGAATTAGAGTTCAGTTACCTAGTGATCTATATACAGCCTTCACAGTGAGATGATGTGGTGCGATTCCTAGGACGCGTCGCGTTTGTTGTCTGAGTCAGTCTAGGTGTATAGTTACAGTGGTACACACTGGAAACCTAAAGCAAAGAATTTTGTTGTTTTGCAAACAGGGTGATAGGACACGTGTGACTTTCTTCAATCTAGATCAGTTTGATGACGATCAAAA